CGATCTGCCTGTTCTGTTCCCCGCTCTGTCTCTGGTGAGGCCTCTCGCCGCCCCTGAGCCTCTGGCCTGTACCCTAGTTCTGTATGCACAAATAAATAAATCTTTAAAAAAAAAAAACTACTTAATATTTAAGTAATGTATAACTTCCTGAAATGGATTCTTTTAAATTGACTTTGTATTATACTTCTTGCATATAAGGTAGTACTTGGCATTGTAGTTCTAGTCTTGAAGACAATCCAAGGACTAATTATGTACTTATTAGAAAATGAGGAGACTAAAAATATAGGGTGGGCACAAGGGGTTAAGTATCAGCACCATGAAGTTATCATAACCCACATGGTGCTACAGACCTCTTTTCTCGGGCCTGCTGCTCCCCTCAGCAGTATATTTCTGTCAATCTGCCTGTTCTGCTTCCTGCTCCGTCTCTGGTGAATTTTCTCACTCTGCACCTCTGATCTACACCCCATCTCTTATATGCATAAGTAATCTTTAAAGAAAAAAATATATATGGGATTTTGTTGAAGTCAACCATCAGAGATTTTCTAGATAAATATTTATACAAGTAAGATATATCAATACTGAAGGACCCATATGTCTCTACCCCATTTTCAAAAATTTGAATAGTATAAATAATACTAGCTATATTTCTGCATTAAGAAAAGAAAAGCTGTTGAAGCTTCTCTTCTCTTCTTCAATTCTGATCTTGCTGAAAAGGCACAAGCCTTTAAATTCCACCAAATACAGAAATTAATTTTAAACATGATGGATAGCAAGAAGAGCCAATATCATAAAGTTATTAGTAAACTAAAAATGCTTAAGATGGGCAAAACATTACATGACACACACATAAGTAACATCTTTGAAGATACAGCACCCAATACAATGATAGTGAAGGCAAGGATAAATAGATGGGACTACATCAAGTTAAAGAGCTTCTGTACAGCAAAAGAGACATTACAAAAAAAAACAGACATCCCACTGATTGGGAAAAAAATTTCTCACACAAAACTAGCAATAAAGGATTGATCACAAAGATATACATAGAATTGATGAAACTCAACAAAAATAAACAACCCTATCAAAAAATGCGCAGAAGAGCTAAAAAGACACTTCTCCAAAGAAGAAATGCTGATAGCCAGCAAGCATATGAAAAAATGTTCAACATCACTCGTAATAAGGGAGATGCAAATTAAAACCACAATGAGATACCACCTCACACCAGTGAGAATGGCACATCTTAAAAAAAACTAGCAACAGCAAATGTTGGTAAGGATGTGGAGAAAAAGTAACTCTCCTGCACTGCTGGTGGGAATGCAAACTAGTACAACCACTATGGAAAACTGGAGGTTCCTCAAACTGCTAATCATGGAGCTTCCATATAACCCAGCAATCCCACTCTTTGGCATCTACACAAAAGACACAAAACACTGATTCAAAAAGACACCTGCACCCCCATGTTTATTGCTGCTTTATTTACAATTGGAAAGACATGGAAACAACCCAAATACCCAAAAGTAGAACTGGATAAAATAGATGTGGTACATATACACAATGGAATATTACTCAGCAACCAAAAAATAAACACATGCCTTTCATAGCAACATGGATGGAGCTGGAAAAGATCATGCTTAGTGAAATAAGCCAGAAAGAAAAGGAAAAATACTGGATGGTTTCACTCATAGAAGGAGTATAATGGACCAGGCGAGAAAATAGCAATAATAATGAACTGCTATATACCAGAGACATTTTATGGGGTGGAGTGGGGAATGGGATCAAAAACCAGTGGGGGGAGGGAAATGCAATGGACTACGGTGGTGACATATGGGTGACTCGGTGATGGGAAGCCCATGGGGATTACAACTGAGATGGGAAAAGGCACAAAATAATGTAAAAATAAACTATTGCATTATTTTTTAAATGCAAATGCTTAATTCTGAACTCATTGCCTTTCAGAGCACTGAGAGATTGGACTATAAATCTATTCACACAATTTCAAATTTACAGATGTCCAAAGAAAGACTACTTTACAAATATCCCCTTTTAAATAGAACAATAATTCTGATTCACTACTCTTATGTAAAAGTAATGTATTTGTTGAGCATACCGCCTATAGTTCTCATGAGTTATAGTTCTGATTCAAAATTTGATGTTTTCAACAGAATATTTGCTGTTTAACCAGTCCATAATTACTATTACCAGATTCTATGTGCAAAGTAATCAGAACCTATCAAATTTAATATATCTATTCTTCCAACAAATTTTTATGTTGTTTAATTCATTTTACTTCATATTTTTTTGTTTTATGTTTTGTTATATTCTTCATGTTTCTTAATCTTTTCATTTCTTTATGGTTTGACTGTTTTTTTCTTCACTTAAATCCCCTTGTGAATCTTTATTTTAAAAGGATGTTGTTACATAGAAATACCCTAACTTTTCTAAAGCAATACCCTGATGCTTTCCTAAAGTATCAGTTTTCAATAACTTCACAATTCTAAGGTTATAATGATGGCTTGGAAACACACAGAATTTTTAATTAGTACCACTTAGTAATTAAATTGAATTTAAAGTGAAGTTATAAACTGAAGAATCTGATTACTATCTCACTATATAGAAATCATTTTCTCTCTCTTGGCAATACACTATAAAACCTGTCATCTGGGTTAAGTGGCATACTCACAATATTAAGTTTAAAAGGTGAAGGGGTGGTGGGGCAAGAGGGCAGCAGAAGGAGAGGCCAGTGGTTTGTGGTGGGCTATGGGTGCTTTGATGGTGGGAAAACTATGATGACCACACTTGGGGGAGAAATCCTATACTGTGAAAAAAGGAAGATGTAACAGAATAGTAAAATCAGATGACGGATGACTAATTTTACATATTAAAAGGTGATTCATGCCAAGATACAGAACTCAAAGTAATACACAATGGAATATCCTCTTCCACACAGCACAGCATAAGTTAAGTTCTGAAAAATAAAGGTTATACAGCTCCTGGTTCTCAAACAGCATTACCTAAAAGTGATTAAATCATTCTCCAACATTCATCTACAACATCCAAAGTGAAATTCAGAAAATAAGTCTTATATGTCTTTTCTCCAGTCCCCAAAACTACCACACAAGAGCTCATCACCCCAATAAGCATGTCACCTATCATAAAAGAAAAATATGATTTAAGCATGACTTGAATGACCCACAAAAACTGATTTCATTTGTAAATTGACCAGGTAGTCAGTTTCAAAATATGTACCTCCTTAAAATTCTTCCTCCATCTCATTTGCCCCCTCAAGTTTGAAAATTCTTTCAAATCTATCTCTTACTATAAAGTGAACATTTAAATTGACACTTTCCAATTTAAAATATTAAAATAAGAATCTTAAAAAGTAACTGATCTGGTGATGGCACATGGGTGATTTGGTGATGGGAAACCCAAGGGGATTGCAACTGAGATGGAAAAATGCACAAAAATATGTAAAAATCAACTATTATAAAATTTTTAAAAACTGCAGGAATACTCACAAAAAAAATAACTGATCTATTCTCACACAAAGAATAAAGTTAACAGAGTAATAAAGAAAAACCCAGGTTTGTCATGGCTTCATTATTAAACTGTACACCTTTATTATATTTCTGCAATTCATTCTTTTCAAAAACACACAAATGCACAAAGGACTAGCCTCTTTCAAATAAACGGAACTTTTTCAATCTATATTATCACTGTATCTGGACTAGATAAATTTACAATTCACATTTGCAAAACAAATTGTGGTATTCGTTGTTTTAAAAAGAAACAGATTCTCAATACTCAGAAACAGATTATATGAAACACAATGTACTACTCTTAAAAGGGAGAAAATTTAAATGTGTTAAATTTATGTGAGAGAAGACAGTTAGATGTTGAGGGTTCTTGTGTATGTGTGCTCCTGTGCTTGTCTAATTCTAAAACCAGCCTCTCTTAAATTCCTTTGAAAAAATCACTTTTTCTCAATAAATATGAGCATAAACTGTACAATAAGATGCATAGATAATGTGCACTTCCAAATGCAGTAATAGGCCAAATAGAAAAAAAAATCAGTGTCTTAATTTTCCAAAGAGCAAGTCAATGTTAAACAATGTCATTTTTCTTTCTCCTGATTCTACAAATCAGGAGTCCTGTATTTTCATATTTAATAAGAGTAACAAACTGATTAGAAACCCTGGAGAAGTAAAAGAAAAAGAAATTATTTTTCATTTTCCCACACACTGAAAGATAAAACAATAGCTAATACGAAGACTTGTTAAAGGAGAGGCATTTGAAATACCCAACGTGACCAGCTTTTGATTTACCCCAGTCTGACAAGGAAGACAGACCCCACCCCCACTCCAGATTGTATGGCTTTTTTTCCCCCTTGGTGGGGGTGTGGAGAAGAGAAGCTGTCACATTTCCATCTTCGGTATTGTTAGTCTGCAGCCTAGATTTTCAAGTATCACTGGTCCGGAGAAAAGGGTATTAAAAACAGACAATTAAAATTGTCTGAAATGCACAATATTTTGTTGGGGTTTTTCCAATTTTAAAGTTAATTATACCCAGTTTCAATCTGCTAAGACTGTAGCTTGCGTCTTTGACAGCCTGTCCCTCAAACGTTCCCTGTAAGATCGCTTGCTCCAGATTCACTAACATTTCTCTCTTCTCTAAACTTAAATTAGAAAAATGCATTTCCGAAATTATTACATCCGAAAAGACAAACCTCCCCGTCCTGGTTCGCCTGCGGTGTGGAAAGTAGAATGAAGAGTAAAAGAGACCTATTCGATTTTCAAACAAAAAGAAATAGGGGAGAGAGGGCCAGTGGGAGAAAGAGCAGCAAATGGACCTGAATGCATTGCTGAGAAAAGTTTTTTCCGTGACTTGTTTGTCCCTCGGCAGGGGAACAGGAGTTGGGTAGAAAACCGGGTCTTGGCCCAGGTGCAGACAGAGGCACTTGCGGGAGAGAAGGTGGGGGACCCGAGAGGAGCCAAGCTAGCACCTACCGACTTGCAGCACGTTCTCCACGGAGCCGCTGTCCAGCAGACGGATGCCCCGGCGGAACGGCAGCCCCTCGCCGCAGCCGGCCACTCCGGCCCC